ATTTAAACAGAAATTAAAATGGCCCTTTGTGTTGATTTTTTTCAATTTACACTATACTATCCATGAGTGTCTAGAAATTTTCTGAACGCACTCCTCTTAAACCGATGGGCAGATTTTGCTGTAAACTATGTCTCAGTGTATAACTAACCTCTTTAATAGTTGCTAAGATGGAAGGAATTTTGCGCTGGCGACCCAATTTTAACAGAATTGTGATGGCCCTTTGTTCGATTTTTAGTTTTCAAACCTATGTGCCACATGATTAAGTACCAAAAAATAATTCTTTCGTTGAATGCCCTAAGAGTCATTAAGATTGATCACAACCTAACATTCGAGCGTTTGTCGGGGCGTGCCGGTTGGTCTTCTATGGTATCTACAATATGATAACATATAAGTTCTTCAACCAATTTTGCCATAAAATATTTGTTCACTAGCAGAATCATATCTTATCGCAAGCCAATTTTCTAAAATCATTTATAAAAATTCAATACAGTTATTCACCAGAGTTATAAAGTATCTATATGTATTTATTTACCAGAATGTAATATAATAATATGCAGTCTACAAGTAGATATTTCTCTTTCTGACAACCATATTGGTTCTTGCAGCAATCATGACCATATTGCACATGAGGCCATATTTTTAAGTAGGATTTCGAAATATCATTTGCCCAAAGTCGATATTTCATAATCTATAATGCACGCACTTCCGGTTAATATCTTTTAAACACTAATAAGCCAGTTAAATATCTTATCAAGTAATAGTAATTACAAATTAAATTGTCGCCCGCGCTGCGCCGTGTCTGACCAATTTAATTTTAGTAATATGTACTATAATATACACCTTTAAACCTCTTATATACTTACGTTCATTTTTTTATTGATCTAATACATGTTTAGTGTATTCTTAAAGTATATCTGATTCAATTTAATTAGCATCGGCAGGTGCTGCGATGTTAATCCTATTATGTGTCACTGAATAAACACCATACATTTAGAGGATATTCAATTTTTTCTATACTGAATACATGCAATTTATTTTCATTGTCGATGGTATAGATTATATTCTGATGCGGTAGCCACGTGTGTGAAAATATTGGTAATTTTCAGTGCCACAAAGATGATACAATAAATCATGATATTTATAGATAAAAAAAACTTGAATTTTCTTGATTTATTATTTATTTAACATTTTCCCTTCTGTTGACATTATAATAATTTCCTGCTTCATCCTAAATATTGTTTGAAGTACTGGCAGATATTCTAGAAGAGAGAGTTGTTCAAAGCAAGCAGACACCAAGTGAAAATACGGAAATATACGTTTCACTGCTATTGTGAAAAATAAACGACTTTTTATCAGTGAATAGAGTGACGGAAAATGAATAAATATCGCATGGTTTTTTATTTCATCTATAATTTCTTCCCAACCTAGTATCATTTATAAAGTATATAATAAATAAGGATTTTAATTCCAAGTTTTTCTATAAATACATGATTTACTCTTTCTTATACGAAGTTGTTATGAAAATAAATATTTCATGAGTGGCGGTAGCACGAGTGATAATATACTTGGTAATTTTCATTGACACTCCAAGCGTATGTAATTCTGAGATCATGTGATTTATTACGAAATATTCGTTGAATTCTTTCTGTATATTATTATCTACAGAATAATACATTTTTTATCTTTATCTCTGACATTAAAATTTGAGAACAGACCTTTCCCTTTAAATATGATATTTGATAACTGCAGATTTAAAGTAAATGTAGATATCCTGACTCTAAAGACACCAAGTAGAAAATACGCGAAAATATGAGTTCAACTGCAGTGAAAATAAATTTTTACAGGGAACTTTGGATAGAAATTAAAATACGCATTTTATTTCATCAATATCTTGCTCTAATATTCATTTATAAGTATTAGAATATAATGTATTTATGTATTGAAATTTATTTTCAGCAAGGGCACCGGATTAATCCATATTACAAGTCACTGTAATGAGAACATGTTCAAATACTGAAGCTGCCGTTCTAGCCCATATGTTGTGTTTGTGTGTGTTATATAGATTATATAGTGAACTTAAAAATCTTCTTGTGAAAAAACCACTTGTCCAATTTCAACCAAACTTGGCAGGATTGTTCCTTGGGTGAAGGGCTTCCAAAGTTGTTCAAAGAATTTCATTCCATGCAGAAATCTGGTTGCCATGGCAACCAAAAGGAATTATAAGAATAAATTTAAAAAATCTTCTTGTAAAGACCCAAAAGGCCTAGAGCTTAGATATTTTGCATAAGGCATTGTCTGGTAGACCTCTAACAAGATTGTTTAAATTTTAGCCCTGGGGTCAAAATTGGCCCCGCCCCGGGGGTCATTGATTTTCACTATGTACATATAGTAAAAACTTAAAATACCGTCTTGTAAAAACCCAAAAGGCCTAGAGCTTAGATATTTTGCATAAGGCATCATCTGGTAGACCCTTACCAAGATTGTTCAAATTATAGCCCTTGGGTCAAAATCGGCCCCGCCCCGGGGTCATTGATTTTCGCTATATGTACATATAGTAAAAACTAAAAACACCTTCTTGTAAAGACCCAAAAGGCCTAGAGCTTAGATATTTTGCATAAGGCATTGTCTGGTAGACCTCTACCCAGATTGTTCAAATTATAGCCCTGGGGTCAAAATCAACCCCGTCCCAGGGGTCATTGGTTTTCCTTATATGTATATAGTAAAAACTTAAAAAAAATTCTTCTAGCAATTGACAAATGCTAGAGGTTAGATATTCTGCATGAAACATTGTGTTGTAAACCTCTAGCAAGATTGTTCAAATTATAGCCCTGGGGTCAAAATTACCCCCGCCCTGGGGGTCATTGATTTCAATATATACATATAGTGAAAAATAAAAAAATCTTATTTGTCTGAAGGTACAAGGCTTAGATCTAGCTTTAATATTTGTTAAATAATATCATCATATGAAAGGTACTCTACCAAAGATGTTCAAATTTTGCCTCTTGTGTCAAAATAAGCCCCGCCCCTGGGAGCCATAGGTTTATCTTATATGTATATATATAAACTTAAAAAATCATCTTCTCTAAATTGACAAAGGATAGAGTTAAGATATTTTGCATGAAACATTATGTAGTGAACCTCTAGCAAGATTGTTCAAATTTTAGCCCTGGGGTCAAAATTGGTTCCGCCCCTTGGGGTCATTGATTTTCATTATGTACATATAGTGAAAAAAAAAATTTGTCTGAAGGTTCAAGGCATAGAGCTTTGATGTTTGATATACAATATCATCTATAGGTCCTCTACCAAAGTTTTTCAAATGTCAAAAATTGGCCCTGCCCGGGGGCAGTGATTCTCATTATGTACACGTAGTAAAAACAGAAAATAAAACAAATGTTTTCTGAATGGGAGAAAGCTATAGCTTAGATATTTGACTTGAAATGTTGTTTGGTGGACCTGTATCAAGATTGTTATTAAACCCTTGGGTCAAAATTATGCCTTGCCCAAGGGGACAGTGACCTACTTTCTTGTCCTTTGATGTACAGCAATGACATTTTGACCATGTGCACAGTTTTAGTTGTAAAATTGAACTTTGACCTAGATTTTGATGATGTGACCTACTTTCTTGTCCTTTGATGTACAGCTATGAAATTTGAACCATGCGGTGGCATAGCATTTTTCTCAAATGCAATCTTGTTTCTTATTTGTAAATAGTAAAAACTTAAAAAATCTTCTTTTAAAAAACCAAAATAGTTAGAGCTTAGATATTAAGCATGAAACATCTTCTAGTGAGTGTCTACCAAGTTTGTTCAAATAAAAGTCATTGGGTCAGAATTGGCCCCGCCCCTAGGGGGTCATTGTTTTTCCCTTTATGTATATAGTAAAAACTTAAAAAATCTTCTTTTAAAAACCCAAACAGCTAGAGCTTATATATTTATCATGAAACATTTTCCAGTGGGTGTCTACCAAGTTTGTTCAAATAAAAGCCCTGGGGGTCAAAATTGGCCCCGCCCAGGGGGTCATTGTTTTTCCCTATATGTGTATATTAAAAACTTTAAAAATCTTCTTTTAAAAACCCCATAGAGCTAGAGCTTAGATATTTATCATGAAACATCTTCTTATGGTTGTAAACCATGTTTGTTCAAATAAAAGCCCTTGGGTTGAAATTGGCCCCGCCCCAGGGGCCTATATATAGGTGAGCGATTTCAGGGCCATCATGACCCTCTTGTTAAATTCGTGTAAACCATAACGTTGAGGGGTCAAAATGGCTTTTGTACGGAAGGTCACTTGATTTTAGATTTATGAAAAACTTTTAAGATCTTCAAATGAACTGCGTGGCATAGAACTTAGATATTTTTTGTATAGCACCGTATGAATTATCACTATCAAGTTTATACAACTCATTACCCTGTGGTCAAAATTAGGTTCTCCAAATGGATCACTTGATTATACATAGTCACACCTTTAAATAACATAACATTACATGAGGGTCAGAAGAGGTCCAGCACTAGGGGTCACTTGACTTTACATTGTCTCATTTAAAAAAAAGAAAAATTCGAAAATATTCTCCGTAACTGCATCGGCTTAGAGCTTGTAACATCACATTGTAGACCATTAATACGTATATGTAGTTCAAGACCCATGCGTAAAAAGTAGCCCCGCTTTTTGAACGGAAAGCTTTGAAAACCTTCTACTCCAACGTTCAAGGCATACAGTTTAGATATTTGATGTGCAGAATGGACATTGTGAAAAAGATTACTAGCAAGTGTTTAATTTTTAAAATCAAAACTAGTTGTTACAATTGACCAATCCATTGGGTTAACTTGAATTTGCATCTTGCTACTAGAATTTATTCTCTTTGGTATGATTCGAACATAAATGTATAGCGGTGAGCGATTCAATGTCATTACCATTAACCACCACAGAATCATTTACCTAACATGTTATACGAGGTTAAATGGTCAGCTTTACAAGGGTTTAAAGCGTTCCAACAGGTTCAACATTGATTTCTTTCCAGGTTTAATATTACATGACGGAAACTGCTGATCAAATCATGGGAGGCGGAAGGGAAAAAGACGCCAACGGGAAAGAGACGCGAAATGGCGACGGTATTCAAAAATCGCCAAAGAATGAAAATAGACGGAAGTCGATGTCGAAAGAAAATACACCTGTTCCACCCCCGGACGGTGGGTGGGGTTGGATGGTTGTTCTGTCATCGTTCTTGATACATATAATAGCTGACGGCATTGTTTATTCATTTGGAATATTTTACATGGAATTTCTAGAATATTACAAAGGAGGAAAGGGAGAAACAGCCTGGGTCGGTTCATTGGTACCCGGCGTCACGTTAAGTGTCGGTAAGTTATACCTATTGGATAACAGAATCCATATTTTACCTTAATTAACTATCCGCTTATGATTAAAGTAATTTTCACGCTCGTATATTTTTGGTATTTTTCGTCATCTTCCGTGTATTATATAAATTATTTAATGGAAAATACAGAGGTTCAATTCACTTCAAAAATGACCTTGTAGTCTATTGACACAAAAACAAAACGGCGGATATCCGTTTCTTTTAAGCATTCACATGATCGAGTCTTTTATTCAGTCATCTGACAATGTTTAGATATACGTATCCGTCAACAATGTTCATACGTTAAATAGAAAAAAGGTTTAATATCAACTCTTTACAAAAGTTAACGACACATAATATACATATTGCTTGCAATAAGGAGTATGTTTCATTTATAGCGCTCTGACTCTGGTGCAATAATTATTTGATATGATACTTAAATTATATAATAATACCATAACCCAAATATCAAAGATATAGATTTGAACAAAGATTGCAAGATAATACCTAAATATCATAACCCAAATATTACAGATACACATTACAGCTCAGTTTTGTCTGGGTTAATATCACCAAATTTCTTATCTTGGACGCTACCAGATTCGGATGAGGGTATTAAAGGGACTCCACAGACGTTTTTTGACACGAAGGGACTGGAAATAATTTTCCAATATTTTTTGTATATCTGAATGTAGGTCTTGACTAATAACTTGCTTTCAAAATTTCAGATCATTAGCTCACTCAACTTTACAGGAATAATCAGTTTTATTGTGCACAAAATGAAAAGCGTTGCACCACTTTCACTGAAATCGGTCAGAAAACTTTATAAAAGTGGAGTATCAATAAATTATTTAGTACCGAGTATATTTACATATCAACTATTCCTTTTTCAGCGATTTGATTTATGACAGAATTATAAAAGACCTCTTTAGAGTTCCTTTAAAACAATGCTCAAGATTTCGTAGCCAGTTTTAAAAGCAATCATTGCACCATTATAAAACTTTAAAATCTATAAATGAAATTAAAAATGAGTCAAGGACATGGTCGAATGTAGAGTGACTCTGATATTTATCACTATGTTTATCATAGATATAAATCAACGTAATGTCACTTGATAAAAATGACACTCGATTGTGAAGATTGGACGTGTTTTGAGCTTATCCTTCCAGATAACGTTTGTAAATGGGCAGACTAATTTACATCTCCATGTTTCGTTTTATTAAGTCACATTTTTTTCTTCAATATTTTGTTTATCTCATTGCTTTTTACAAGGTCATTGAAAAATAAAATAACGCAGTTACCCATACTTGCTTTTTTTTCATAGTTTTTTGAAATCTTTATCTTTGTTTTGTGGAAATATGCCGCGTGCTGCCGTTAATAGATTCGAATAAACGTGTTGACAGACGCTTTTTTACTTATTTGAGCCTTTTAAAACTCAATGTTGTTTAACGACTTACAATGCCCCTTTAAAAGCCCTCACGAAAATGAGTCGATATTTTTAGTTTCACACCTAAACGAAAAGATTTAAGAAACATAACCTTCAGGTTCGACTGCCTTTTAGAGAAAAAGACAAAATTTCCGAAAAATCTGGCCTCTTGTCATTAACTGCCCTCTGAAAGCGAAGACAACTTCCGCTGGAAAGTATTTTCCTTTCCAACGTACATTTCCTGGAACAGAATGATCTTCTATTAAATCAAACAAACAAACGAACTAGGCACGATCATGATAAGTATTTGATTAGAAACAAAACATAACATTGAGACCAACAGAATTACATGTAATTATCTGTAACCCCCCGTTCACACATAGACGCCGCTTCTACTACGACCAAAGCGTGGCCGAAAACGTGGCCTATCGTTGCAAATCGTAGGAGAAACGTAGTGGAGTCTACATAAGCGCAGTATGATCGCGGTAGCGTCTTCATGATCGGAAAGCTCTACGCTCTCGCCACGTTTATTTTGAACGTGCTCAAAACAAACGTAGCGGAATCGTGTCCAACAAGAATCGGCGTAAAGTCGTGAAAAGAGCGTGGTAGAAGCGCCGTAATCGTACAAGCAGCGCGGAAGCATCGTGGATAGTTCTTCATGATCGTAGTAAAAGCGCAGTAAAAGCGTAGTACAGTCGGGAACATACCGAGTACGCTTCTACAACGTTCCCACTATGTTCTTTCAACGTTCCCACTACGATCTCTCTACGTTCATGACGATCCTACGAAGACCTTACGACGATCATACCACGACCTGTCAGGTAGCAGTTTGTTTTTATAGCGCTGCTATTTGACCAATCATAATCTGAGGAAGTGGTGTCTTCCATTCGGAGTTCTCTCATCAGTGTATCATATTTTCTAAACTGGAGCCTCCTACCTGCAGATAGCCGTGGCCGTACACAGTATCTTCTTGGCCTCCTTCTGCGCCTCCGCCTGTAAACAATCTGTTCAATTTCAACCAATAATTGTTCTTGATGAAGTAAAGCCAGATGAATCAGATCAGCATTAATACGTCCCTTCATGTTTGAAGTTTGGAAGTAAATGAAAAATGATTTTTGAAACCCAAGATATATATTATCGCCAAAATCGTACCAGAAGCGTACTACATTGGTTTAAACATATTTATTTAAGCTCGATTGCGAAACAAGTTCTTGCAACTTATATTAATCACTTTCGAGTCCGCTTCCTGGAACCAACCAGTACTGGTGTCATATGGAGAAACATGGTCGTGACCCGAGTAGGGCTCGAACCCATGATCTCTGGGTTGAGAGGCAGACACCTTGACCACTAGGCCACCGCTCCCCTTACTACTAGCGTACTACAAGCGTGATATGATCGGCACCGTCGTAGCGATATCGTCGTACAGTCTTCTAGGTCTGCGTAACGTCGTAGTGTGAGCTTGAATGTCGTAGCGGCCGCGTAGTATAAACGCAGTAAACACGGCCGCTGGTCGGCATCGTTCAGCGTAACATCGTAGTAGAAGCGTGTCAGCAGCGCGTTTGACATTGGAACATCGTAGTACAGTCGTAATGAAGACCAAAATTTGCCAAATTGTTCGATTTCGACGCCGATCGGCCCCGATCCAATACTTTTTCAGATCGTGGTTTGATCGGCATGATCGTCCTAAAGTCGCAGCTCTGTGTGAACGGGGGTTTAGTAACTTAGATAAAAGATACAGTAATACCGGTCGCTTTTCTATTAACAGGTCCATTGGCGAGTATTCTGACTAACAAGTATGGTTGCCGGGTTACCACGATAGCCGGCGCTATTATTGCAGCTGCGGGGTTTGTGCTCAGCCTATTTGCCCCGAACCTTTACTTCTTGTATTTCAGTTTCGGTATTATGGCAGGTTAGTTTATTCATATATTAATTAATCATACTATAGTGTTCTTCGAAATGTGTTATTCTGTGTAATTAAAAACATTTATGTAGATTGACATATATATGTTTAATTTGTCATACATTTAAAACACATGTTTTTCTAAATTTGTATCAAGAGGTTTAGCAGAAAACACAAGGTGGTTATTTTGTATATCAAAAATAGGCTTTATACAGTGAATATTAGTACTTGTTTGACCATCGAGTCTCAACGTGTTCTTTTTTGTGTATATACCATTAAAGTCCTATTTAAAGCGCTTTTTTGATTCAAAATACATGATAGTTTATTTTCTAGGAAATTCCTGAAAATTACACATGTATGTTTATAAAAACGTTCACATAGTTGTCTAAAAAAATAATGTGTTTCTCTGTTATAAAATAATTTTTTACGTCATGGAGTAACAGATAGCGTTCATCATCGTTTATACTCTTAATTTAGTAGGACACGGAAAGCTACTTCCGGTTGACGTAATTGTCAAGTGAACGCGCATCATTGTATAGTCATGAATTAAACTTTGATATGAAAGTTGAAGCATTGTCATGCATTGTTTATTGTAAAATTTAAAGCTGTGTATGACTAACTTTAGCTATTAAATAACCTATTTATTTGTTAATATGAAGAATAAATTTGTAGTTATTCGTACTCGTGTATGTGCTGCACTTAGTATATTTTAAACGCAGCAATACAAGGTTAAATCTAGTTATGCACAAAAAATGAATAGAATAGTTGATGTTTTTGACTTTAATTTAAAGTTTACCCATTGTTATTAAATTTTATTTTCAGGTCTTGGATTCGGCCTGATATATTTACCAGCAATTGTTAGTGTCGGATATTACTTTGAAGAAAAGCGTGCCTTTGCGACAGGCCTTGCTGTTTGTGGCAGTGGTCTTGGTGCCTTTATTTTCAATCCATTTTCAAAATACTTGATCGACGAGTTCGGTTGGCGAGGTGCAATATTGATCGAGGCAGGCATTATATTAAACTGTGTTTTGTGCGGTGCTTTGTTCAGGCCGTTAGAACATCCCAAACATTCTAAAAATAGTGATACTGCTAAGAAACCACCTTTAGATTCACAGCTTGTAAAAGACAGTCTTGAACTTGAATTATTTGTAAGTAATGGTACCACTGTGACTTCACAACCGTCGTCACCAACCCGTGATATTACTCCATTTAGTTTAGAGCCCCCACATAAAGACACTGCTATATTCCGAAGTGATGGCGCGTTAAATCGTTCTACACACAAACCGATGACGCCATCACCCCTAACGATGGACCAAACACAAGGCACTAATTCCTCTACGCAGCCTCATCTTAGACGACTACTTTCAGAAGAACATCATTATCATCATCATCGCCATAGTAACCAGCACGCGCCATTCCGTTCTCATAGAAATTTGGTGCTTGGTAAGTAGATTAAGAAAAATCTAGTTATTTCAATCATTGGTATACATGTATATTATAGATCTATAAAACATATATTTCAAGGCCTTGTTGGATTTTCATAAATTGTGGATTGATCAATAGATATCTATAACTTTTATCAAAAATAAACTTTACAAAAACTAAATGTAAAGTTTAAAAATAAAAACAAGTTATTACTTTTAAATATCATTGAATGATGATAAACTGGCTTTAAACATCACGGTGCTATTTTTTTTGGCCTGTTAACCGCCATATGGACAGTCTAAACAATGGGGAGGCAAAGCCTATCCAAAGAGCCTTAATTTATAAAGTATTTCAAAAAACATGTCTAACCAAATTGACGCTATTAAGGTAATGATCCATGTATAAACTGCTAGCAACACTGAAAATATGTTTCAATGTTTCATAAATGATGCAGCTTAAATTGTTATTGGTTTATATATATGTAAATATACAAGTTCAAACGGTGAGGCGGGAATGTGCAATTTTGCATGTAGCTGTAGCCTTTGATAATCCGTTAACTTAGTAATCAAAGCCTGCTGTATACGAATTCTGTGAGTCCAGATACATATACATTGTAATCAGTTCAAAAACAAAAAAACGCTTTTCTTAGCTTACGACATTTTGTCTTCCATCAGAAACGTTTGTCGGTGACGGTATTGCAGTTTATATTTTCTTCTCGAAATCTACTATTGAATTTAGTTACAGATTTACGCTTATGAAAGCTGTAAAAGGTTTTAGGGTTGATAATGATGAGACCTTACTTACAATCACAATTAATGATGGCTGTCACATATTTACAGTAGGAATATGTTGAAATTTAAAATACACATAATGATATTTTTATAGTGATTAACTATTAATTTTACATCATATCGGTCCAATATTTAAGTGCTTGCTGGACGACTAGTAGAGTGGCAGATGGTCCAATATTACAGTGATAGCTGGTCCAATGTTTGAGTGATACCTGGTCAAATATTTAAGTGCAAGCTGGCCGACTAGTAGAGTGCGAGCTGGTCCAATACTAAAGTGCTTGCTGGACGACTAGAAAAGTGCTCAATGGTCCAATATTTGAGTGATAGCTTGTCCAATATTTGAGTGCTTGCTGGACGACTTGTAGAGTGCGAGCTGGTCCAATATTTAAGTGTTTGCTGGGCGACTAGTAGAGAGCGAGCTGTTCCAATATTTAAGTGCTTGCTGGACGACTAGTAAATTGCTCAATGGTCCAATTTTTGTGTGATACCTGGTTCAATATTTGAGTGCTTGCTGGACGACTAGTAAGTTGCTAGCTGGTCCAATATGTGTGTGATAGCTGGTCCAATATTTGTGTGATAGCTGGTCCAAAAATTGAGTGCAAGCTGGCCGACTAGTAAAGTGCGAGCTGGTCCAATATTTAAGTGCTTGCTGGACGACAAGTAAAGTGCTCAGTGGGCCAATATTTGTGTGATAGCTGGTTCAATATTTGAGTGCTTGCTGGACGATTAGTAAAGTGCTCGATGGGCCATTATTTGAGTGATAGCTGATCTAGAATTTGCAAGTTGGACGAGTAGTAGAGTGCTAGATGGTCCATTGTTTGAGTGATAGCTGGTCCAATATTTGAGTGCAAGCTGGCAAACTAGTAAAGTGCTAGCTGGTCCAATATTTGAGTGATAGCTGGTCCAATATATAAGTGTTTGCTGGACGGCTAGTAGACTGCTAGCTGGTCCAGTATTTGAGTGATAGCTGGTCCAATATTTGAGTTTGCTAGACGACTATGAAAGTGCCTAGTAGTTCTTTATTTGAGTGCTAGATGGTCCAATAGTTGGATTATAACTGGATAAATTCTTGCCAATGGTCAAAAACAGACAAAAATTCATGAACATGTTTAAAAAGTACTATTTCATTCAAACAAATTCTTCACAAAGTGCTCATTCTACTAACATTTTACCGGAGATTTTATTCATGTCTCTCTTTTTACCTTTTATGTTTAATGTATATTGGTTTGCCGAATAGTTTTACTATGTTACATGAAGTGTCTGGCTTTTTAAATATTCAACAATTTACATGAGGTAACACCCTGTAGGTGTTGCAATTTTCGCACAAGTAAAGGTCATTCCATTAGTAGATGTGAAACATGGCAAGTCTGTTCTTAGAATATTTAAGTTTATTCAGAAAATATCTCCATATTGAGAATATAATAATATAATTGAAATAAGAAACATCTGCACCAGATGGTGAACTAATCGTTTTATACAAAAAAAGTTGAAAAAATTTATATATTTACTACTACATGCTAGCTTAAAATAATCGGTTAACCATGCAGTTTGAAATGAATGGTCAGACAGCAATTGGAAATTAATGGCGACATGCATATGTTTCGTAAACTTTCTCTTTTTTCGTAAACACGGAATTTCGTCATTTCCGTTTTTTAAAGTATCATAAAAATTTTTTGGTAACCCTGAGCAAACTACGTAACTGGAAAAATTTTAAAACGCTTTTTACCAATTTTTACAAGCTTTAAGCTTTTCCCAATTTTACAGGGTTAAGCGTGAAAAATATTTTAAATTTGGTAATCTTTTCATCATTAGAACATAAACGGGGTTTAATAATGATAATAGATTCCCGTTATTTAGAGCTATTAACTAATAAGAACTCGCCGAGTGGCAAGTTCGTTTCAAAAAGCACAAGCTTACAATCAGACTACTCATTGTATATCAGTAAATAAATGACAGCTGGTATTTCAATGCCAATCCCTACTTCTCACAAGAAGAATTTGAAGGTACACGTTTGTGTCCGGACTGTATCTTTGTTATGCAATGAAGGATTTAAAATTATTTGGCACACATATCTATCACATTCAGACAACGTATTGCGTCTAAGTCCCATGCCACTACCTAAAAGGTCAAGGTCACACTTAGAGATTCAAGGTACACATTTGTGCCCGGACTGTAACTTTATTATGCATTGAAGGATTATAAAATTATTTGGCACAAATATTTTCACATTCAGAAAAACGTATTGCGTCTAAGTCCATGCCACTACATAAAAGGTCAAGGTTTGCACTTAGAGATCAAGGTACACATTTGTGTCCGGACTGTAACTTTGTCATGCATTGAGAGTTTTGAAATAACTTGACATAAATGTCTACTGTACAAGGTCACGTGTCGCGTTTCAAGACTCATGCCACTTCCTAAAAGATCAAAGGTCACACTTAGAGGTTGAAGGTACACAATTGTGCCCGTTACTGTAATTTTGTCATGCTTTGAGGGATTTTAGAATAACTTGGCATATAATATCTACCGCATCAAAGCGACGTGTTGCGTCCAAGACCCATGTCCCTACTTCAAAGTTCAAGGTATTTGTTTTACTATGAATAGCACTTCATTTCACAAGAATACTATTAAGCAATTAGTTACTTATATTGTCCTTTCTTTTCATAAATATCTTTCAGCCTTATCGGGGACATTCATCACTTTTGCGTGACAGCTCTGATTAATATTTATTTTGATTTAAAAACAAAACAATTTTATTGCAGAACAAACAATATATATATCATTACTTATTTTTTAATTGTCTCCCGTTATTTGAAGAAATTGAACATTTATTTCAACCATATTTATCATGTTAAACATACTGTCTGTAACTTATAATAGTGACGTTTTTTCATAAAGCAGCATACATAGTATTTTAATATAATAGGTTTTTTTTTATATATGATAGCACAGCAGTTTTCAGGTACAGGGGCTGAAAACGTATACATGTATACATCTGAATTTTTATCGTCAGATAATTTAAAGGCACATTATGCCTCAGAAATCCATATTTTTTAATTCTCTAGAAATGTCAAACATGTGTTTAATAATGCTTGATAATGCTTTTAGAGAATGTGCTGAAAAAAGTGGCACTGAATATGCAATAATGTGTCGTAAAAGTAGCAATTTATTTATAAAAAGGTCCAACACGAAAAAATATCTCAATATAATTATACCAATTGCTAACAAAGCAAAATTTGTATGACAAATGTATATTGTTTTGGAAACTGTAAAAACATACCATTGTTTTTAAATTTTTGTGAAGAAAAAAGAGAGATAATGCGCCTTTGAATGATCTACCTCTGGTTTTACTATATCATAATTCTTGTTTATGTTAATTGATCACAATGTAACTATGATCACTGGTTTGTTAATCAATAGGTATTGTCCTTAGAAGAACATTTTTATGTGACTTTTTTATACAGAATTGGCACGCTATTTTCTATTTTAGATTTTACAAAATTCCGGTCCGGCTCTGAAGTGTTAACAATTATTTCCGGCCTCGTGTCCTTTATAAGACAAATTTATAGGCTCTTTCTATATTGCATGTTGCTCACATTTCGTTAATGCACTATTGGTCACGTGCAATATCTTGTAAATGAGAGTGTCAAGTAATTTTATTCTCAACATTTAGGTAAAGAGTATAAGTATAAAATGAAGAGCATCTTCTATCGGATTAATAATTATAGTAAAATAAAAGCATTAATAATCACGAATTCTAAACTTTATATATGAGCCGTGTCACGACAAAACCAACATAATGGGTTTGCGACCAGCATGGATCCAGATCCGCGCAGTCTGATCAGGATCCATGTTGTTCGCTATCAGTTTCTCTACTTAAAATAGAGTTGGTAAGCGAACAGCATGGATCCTGATCAGACTGCGCGGATGCGCAGGCTGGTCTGGATCCATGCTGGTCGCAAACTCATTATGTTGGTTTTGTCGTGACGCGGCTCATATAATGTTTTTCCCTCTTTAATCTGTCACGGCATTACCCGTACCCGTCCTATCACAGAAAGCTAAAGATCTTTTATCAAGCATCTCCGTCATTATTTAAATACTTATATTTCGACTACTGGCTTTTAATGAATCGTTAAAACTGTTTTGGATAATAAGAATAAAATTCATGTTGAAATTTCAATACGAAACACTTGGTCCTATATCATTTTTGACTGCATTGAGTATTTTTTTATAATAGCCAAGAAGCTTTCCTATCCAAATATACTGACTAATGATTATTACACTATAGGAATGTCGCAATCTTCTCTAATGCAAGCTATGGAAAATCAAAACATTAATGAATTATTACGGGTTAAATGTGAGGTAAAATAGCACCGTTTGATTGGTAACAGTGGAATTTTTAACTTGAAATAATTTTTACATTTTTCATTTTGCAAAAAAGAAAGAAAATTTATCACTGATATATTTATACTTGAACTATCTTTATTAACTTTGATATTGACCGGTCATCGACAGTTACTATGTTGACTTTTAAGATTTCTACGCGGGATATCAATAGATGCTTTTGACGCTTGATATCAACACCAATTTGCTTCATATGACGTGAATAATCCATCTTAAGTATTTTTATCACTTTTAAAGGCACATTTTGCCTCAGAAACAAATGATTTTTTGCTTCTTTAGAAAGGTCAAATCTGATTTTTATTTTGTAAAAATAAAGGTTTTAGAGAATGTTAGATGTTTGTTATCTGAAGAATGTAGTGATAAATGAGAAATATTTTGTTATAAAAGTAGCGAAATGTAAATAAAGAAGTATTTTGACTTCTATACAAAATACTAATTCGCTAAAACTAAAACTGTACATGTATTTTGTGTCAAAAAGCATCAGATGAAAAATATGGTTCAGGTAATTGGCTATTGTAACTTTTTGTATACTGTAAAACAACATCAAAATCAAAAATATTTTGAGAAAGAAAAATAAAAAGCATTTCTGAGGCATAATGGGCCTTTAAAGATACTTTTGCATATATTTTATCTGGCGACAAATATTGCAATCTGAAAAATGGTAATGAATAACCATGTTGAAGGGGCTAATAAAAATAAATTGATAAATGTCTCTACAAACAGGAAATCTGACATATTTTAAAGACTAAAAAATATGTTATCTTAACACAAAAATAGGTGGGGGAAAAGTTTACAGTCTCTGCGCTTTTTTCTTAAAGAGAATATCTCAGTAACTAGTGTATTTAGCCACTAATTGGTCGTTTGTTTATATCCAATATATATTTTGAAGAATAAATTATAACTTGCAGTTTTTTAAGAGGCCGGTTAGCCCGTTTTTGTACATTTGCATATAAAAATTTTGAATTCGTGTGCCTAACGAAACCCTCTGAATATGATCACTTTTACAAAACAACAACAACAACAACAACAACAACAAAAAAACCAAACATTTATTGGCTGCAATTAACCTTTAACTTATTCTGCCTACTTTTTAATACAGGTCAATTTTGCAGATTGCTGTGAGTTTTGTATAGTTATGTACAGTAGTTTACGTACATTTTTTTAAAATAAAGACCTCTTTATTTTTCCTTACCTTTATTTTTCATGACATAATTATGTACGTGATTTGCGATGATTCTGAAAAGCAGTGAAATCAATTAACGCCAGTGAAAGGAAAATCTTCTAGAAGCAGCTGAGTTACATGGATATATGTACACGGTTATATGTACACGGTTATATGTACACGGTTATATGTATACGGTTACATGTACAAGTTACAATACCATCCCTTTATTACATGCAAGGCTAGTTATGATTGTGACATGGCTGTATATTGTTGCTAGAATTTCTTTCACCCAACCATCGGGCGTATAATACGTTTAAGATGTCCAAAATGGTTAAAGTCTTTAACGTGAGTTTACTTGTCTATCACTGCTGGTAGTTCGAGATGTTTAATATTTCCATGCTAGGAAGCTATGAGGCCGTCGGTTCTACTAAGTGCCTACAATTAATGTTCAATTATTCAAAATACTTTGGTACTTTAACTTTGATTAAGATTTGGCAAAAGTCCGCGTCAAGTGCCGGTAACAAAAAACGAAAGAAAAAAAAAACACCCGCCTCCAAAAAACAACAAAAAAAAATTTCGTTTGTTCAAATATCAAAATTTCATAAAGTTTAACTGGAAATTGTAGTATTGCATACAGAGTATAAAAACAACCCGCAAAATATACTGAAATATTAATTAACTGAATGGAAATACATTGTACATTTATACATATACTCCAATGTATTTTCTCTATAGACCGTGCACGTGGATACAAAGTCTTGTTTCTTTGCTGAAAACTGGTGATAAAGGAATATATAAGATCATGTTACATAACTTATATTTTATAAACTTGTCTTCACTGTAACTTTCATGATTGTATAACCACATCACATGTGAAGTTGCACTCGGCAATGAATGAAAGGCGCGTGCATAATTTAAAGACTCATCTATGACGCTTGCATGTTGTTTATATGACGCTGCATACGTTAGATGAATGTCGATATCTATGAAAGACTGACTGGGTCATTGTCGAGATAACGAGCATTTATTTTACATATATTATCTTGTTTCTATTTAATGGAGCGGACCGTTTGCTGATGTTATATCTCGTGGCCAAATCCATTTGTATATGGTTTTTTTTCATGTTTGTATCTGCATTGTATATAAGCATGGACACGTATAATAACAACACTATTAAAGTACTATTAAAGCTTGCAGTAAACCCAGATCATTCCATGATCATAGATGCTTATTTAACAAGTGTGCTGGCATAAATTGAGTGTGTTTTCTTGAAATTCTTTAACAGCGAATAAAATAGTTGTTTTTCTAGTTTCAAGGACACACTTCTGAAAATTTCGATAGGTTTCATCGTAATAAAGCCAAACGAAATATACCACCCCCTTCCGCCTCTAAAAGTTAACTCATTATATGCCCATAATGACTTCCGTAATAATTAATGAAATTGAGCTAGTTTCTTTAATTGGACATAAATTTTCTTTAAATAAAAGTAGTTTTTGTTTTTCCAACGTTTTAATTTAACGCTCACTTGCAAATAAAGTGCTAACACGTACTCAACTATTTTATGGCTTGCATGGAGCTTCAGGGGTGTTACACACCAGTAGTCCAATTTTAGGACGCTTTATATACCAGTAACAACGACACGAATTATGATAATGTTTATTATTATGATCAGAACATAATTTACTGTTTAACATGACATTTACATTACCACTTTTTTATGATATTCTTTCATTGCAGGGGGCATTTATCAGAGTGGAAGCCTTATGAACATATCTTTGCAGAAATCACACCCTGCATTGTACATTGCCAGTCTCACATCGATCCCTGGGGAAGAAACCGACCTCAAAAAGCGACTATGCTGTTGTGATGTACCAGCCAATATTTATTATTCACTTAAGAACATGTGCGACTTTTCCCTATTGAAAGACACGATTTTCTTAATGTTCGTCGTCTCGAACTTCTGTACCAGCATCGGTTTCAACATGCCGTTCATATTTCTCACAGACCGCGCGGTGGATGAGGGCATCAGTCCAGAAGATGCCAAGTGGCTGGTGTCGGCTATTGGGATATCTAATACTGTAGGGAGAGTGTTGTTTGGCTTTCTTGCAGACAGACAAGGAGTAAATAGGTTAATGCTGTATAACACCGCTTTGACTATCTGCGGAGTTGCTACAGCGTTATGTCCCTTGTGTTATTCATATTCTTTACTGGTGTTGTATGCCTGTGTGTTCGGTCTTTTTATAGGTATGTGTCAATTAATATTATATGATGGTAGTAGTGTTTTATTTAGAAATGTATATTGCTTAAAGTGTATAAAGATATATGTAATGAAATATTTTTATAGAATTTAAAAAATAGTAGAATTACGTTGTTCCTTATGCGCAGGCTGGTCTGGATCCATGCTGGTCGCAAACGCATTACGTTGGTTTTGTCATGGCGCGGCTCATTTGATCTTTGCTTAAATATAACCATATAGCTGTTCCACACGTAACTACATATATAGCCTTTTCAATTAAGGTTTAATTAAGACCAATTATAAGAGAAACAGTCACTTAAATTAACTTTATCCCTTTACAGGTGTATACGTGTCACTGACGTCAGTAGTACTGGTTGACCTTTTGGGCTTAGAAATGCTAACCAACTCATTCGGATTACTTCTCATGTTCCAGGGAATCGCTACATTAGTTGGACCACCAATAGCAGGTTTGAATTTATTACTCCGACGATTATGGTTTATTACTAAAATTCTAACTAAGTTTATATAAAGTGTGTTTGCGACCGAGTGTTTAAGGTCGTTGACTTCAAACAATTGACTTCAAACAACTTCTCACCGTTGTAGGTTCGAATCCCGTTCCAGAACTTTGGATTCTTAATGTGAGCAAGCTATCCAGCTAGCTTCTAGAACGTCGGTGGTTCTACTTAGGTGCCTGCTCGTATCTGAAATATTGCACGGAGGGAGGTGCGCCTGAGATTTAATCTGGAAAATCGCAGTATGACCTCTAGTGTGTTGGTGCCAAAGAAAGCTTGTATTGTTTGCTGTAGGTCTTATATAAATAGTCTCTACAAAAATAACAAAGCAGACATAAGAATATAAGTAAAATGAAGGAATAAATATAAATGTTTTGGTTTCAGGTTGGTTAAATGAATATAAGAATAGGGAAGGAATAAATATAAATGTGTTGGTTTCAGGTTGGTTAAATGAATATATAATAGGGAAGGAATAAATATAAATGTGTTGGTTTCAGGTTGGTTATATGAATATAAGAATAGGAAAGGAATACATATAAATGTGTTGGTTTCAGGTTGGTTATATGAATATAAGAATAGGAAAGGAATACATATAAATGTGTTGGTTTCAGGTTGGTTATATGAATATAAGAATAGGGAAGGATAAATATAAATGTGCTGATTTCAGGTTGGTTATATGATGGGACCGGAAGTTACGACGTGTCGTTTATAGTTGCTGGTGTAATAGTAGCTGTAAGTGGAATCATGTTGTACTTTATACCACTTGTACGGAGATGTATAGATAAAGATGATGTTGAGGATGGAGATGCTAGTGAACAAAGAGAACTTACAGCATAAATATACGACCTACGATACGTCACGTTACGTTACATTACGTTACACAGATGAATGATACGGACATTTCATGAACAAATAAAAATGATGCTCGGATATTTCTGTAGATATGAGTTCGTTTATGCATTAGGCAAATATATGATGTTCAGATGATATAATTTGTGATATATCTTTTCACTAAAAACGAAATACGTTATAAACGTCACATTACGTTTGGTAAAAGTTACTCGAGTATTTGAATGCATGTGTTACTATAGTGACGGAGATTCTGACGTAGATTCTCATAAAGTGTTTTGTAAAAAGGTATATAAAAGAGCAATAATAGTTTGAAACAGGAGTGTATATTTTCATTATTTTTGCAAAGAGACGCACAGTATAAGGGAAGAAGTGTAGAAAAATACATAGCTGTCATTTACATTACATTAGACATTTCTTCATATGATAGAACATACTGTATGGACATGTGCTCATATAATAGTGAAGCTGTTTTACATCTAATACCAGCAATATATACATGTGTGATGATATTGTGCGAAGAATTATTCATCACCGCTAAGTGTGTTTCACAGTGAAACAGTTAGAACCATTAACACCGTGTGTTTGTAACGTAGAAATATATAGAAAAATATATAAACATATTGCATAATTATACGTTATTCAAAAGAGACTTTACAGACAATCTGAAAGGATATTTTTGTTATTCTTCTTATAAATAAAGCACTAGTGTACATGTATATGATGAATAATTTGTTGTTAAATTGCTTGCCTATAATAATAAATGTAAAATAAATGTTAAAACTTGATTGACGATTTCTAATGTCAATATTTACAATATTTACTATCATTTTTATTAAGGTATTTGAGCTGCGTCACGACAAAACAACATAATGGGTTTGCGACCAGCATGGATCCAGACCAGTCTGCGCATCAGCGCAGTCTGATCAGGATCCATGCTGTTCGCTATCAGTTTCTCTACTTGTAATAGGGTTGGTAAGCGAACAGCATGGATCCAGATCAGACTGCGAATGCGCAGGCTGATCTGGATCCATGCTGGTTGCACACCCATTATGTTGGTTTTGTCGTGACACGGCTCATTTGGCTGCTATATGAATTCATGTTGGATGTCTTCCACTACATGTATCATGCTTTCTTTTTTCTTTTCTCTTTTGTCATGTAAGGCACACCATAGAAATAATATAATTAAAAAAAGACAAAACAATGTTTTACCTTTAAATGAGCTGTTTTAGATGGGACTACTTAAGATATTGATATTGCATTTGTTTATATCTATACACATTTTTTTCTTGTTCATTTGTTTATTTTTTTTAAAATATTCTTTATATATATATATATTATATATATATATAGTCAAAAAGTAGATTCAAATGAAAGTTTGTTGTTATATGAAATTTGTGTAGCTAGGGGGGACAACTCCTCATTGCATAAAGCAGTAAACTGATGTGATATGGTCTGTGGAGTTGTCTCCCTTAGAGGAAAAAATAAATACTGAAGTCTCTTGTAATTCTTTTAGAATGGCTTTTCATGTATTTTATGTTTGTGTTTTACGTTTTATATGTATTTATATGTACACATGTAAAGATGAGACTGAAATAAAGAAATAAAGTACTATACACGACGAAAAAGATAGTAAAAAGATTGAATAAATAAAAATTAAATTAATGAGAGGTAACATAATTACATCTAATGTTTTATTCATACTCACCTTTAAAAAATCGCATTTATAGTACATATGACTTTAGTATATTTATGTTTATGATATTTACGTTACAGTAACGTCAATTTTTACGTTACCGTAACGTAAATAAAAAGAGTTACAAGAGTTACGTACGAATTGCTTATCAATGCTCCATAAAAATTTGAATATAATGTAAATGTGTACATTTTTGTTGTTAAGATTTAAATATAGTAATTATGTACGATTTTGTAGTTTAGAATAGTTACTGCCTGATTTTATTCTGTGTATGTTATTGATACATTTTGTTCTTTGGCTTGTTCACAATTGGCCGTTGTATATTCAGCAGATATTTTATAAATGAATTATTCTTTGTATAATGTACAATATATGAGCCGCGTCACGACAAAACCAACATAATGGGTTTACAGACCCTATAACAAGTAACAAAGATAACAAAGAAACTGATAGCGAACAGCATGGATCCTGATCAGACTGCGCGGATGCGCAGGCTGGTCTGGATCCATGCTGGTCGCAAACCCATTATGTTGGTTTTGTCATGACGCGGCTCATATATGATTATCACATCTGAAATCAAAAGAATATTTAACATTTATTCATAAAACTTCATTCGTTTATTTGCTTCAAACACTTTTGTGTTATCAGATTTAATTCCGCATATTTTAAAGATAACCTTTTACGCAAAATACGGCATTAGTCATTTCAGCTTATTTTTTCAGGATATTGCATAAAGTGCAATACAGACAGGTGTGTTCAGACAAGTTTTTTTTTTAAAATTTCATTTATATTCAGTTGTTTTCATTTGTGAGATCATGTTGAAACACGAAACATAGGTTTTTAAGTTCTTTTTGCATGAACAAGAACTTTTCATTTCATCAATATTAAGGAAAAAATAAAGAGAACCAAATCAAAACGCGGAAAAAACGCTGATGCTTGAGATATTAGTGAGCATGTTCAGTTGCAGTTTCATTATCTCGAATCTTATTGGCTGATAAATATTTTCAAAGGTAACTAATCAGAGTGGATGACGCTTGTTGACTTTTTATCCGCATATGAAAGAAAGAATGTCATTGGTTAATTAAAAATAGTAATGTTAGGAAGCTGATTTTTATATGAACGTTATACTAGTATATTTTGAACAATATGAAGTTTATGAAAAATATATACACTATACAGTGTACAGTTGTTTACTATGTAACAATTTTTGGATAAAACAATGTGAGCATTGTGAATTTGGTATGAAAAGGAACCAGTGTATGCCTGTGATTTTACTTAAATTGAAATGTTAGAATGTTGGACATTTTATAAAAAAAACTTACAAAAAATTTACGATGTGATAGTAATGCTTATTTGTGCCTTACCTATATTATAAGATTAATAACGCCTGTAAAGGGACCAATACTTATATTTCCTGTTAAATAACTGTTTGCACTTAGTATAAGATATTTTACCCTGCAGATCAACGTAATATCTATATAAAGGGGGAACCATTAACGAATTCCAAGTTACTCAATATTGAGTATCCATATTATCGGCACCTCAGTACAATAACTGGTTATCTCCGTTTAAATTTAGAAGGACTTAACTCATTACTGCACTAAAGTGAGGAGATGAATAAATACGGAGACACAGACAAGTAAGTCCACAGAGGACAATAATATATTCTAACATACTAATCTAGCATAAACATGGCATAAACATTGACACAATTGTGGAAATGGGGATAATGGGGACGTAAAGCACAAAATAAAACAAGACTAGTTTCATTTGTTGGCCTTAGTTATGTAATACATTGATATTATAATTTTCCAATCATTTCACGCGAGTTGAAAACTGGATATGTTTATTTTAAGTCTAGTTTTTATATTACTAGTTTTCTTTTGTGATCATCCATTGTTTAGCCTTCATGTTATCAGAACAAAATAAAATGAAACGAAACAGAACATATTTGTTTGTGTATTGTAACACAAGTGAAATTTTGATAGATGTTGATTTATTATGTTGTTTCATTTTAATATTGTGATAGATATTGTTATAATTATAGATTCTATATTGATTATTTATACTCCTAAATTGATTTTATTGATTTATCATGCTATTGAATATAATATTAGAAATTAGAAGTTTTAAACACACACATATATATCTATACATTGTTAAGAAGACGCCAGGAGATATTACTATATATTGCACGAATAATTAGTATTTCGGGTGATCATGAAGGAAATAATAAACTTTTGTGCATCACAATTTTATGTTTGATTATATTTTCAAATCTTTTAAAGTTTCAATTTATCTTACGAATTGTCGGATGATGTATATTGTGACAATTTAAACTGGCGATTTAATAATGGTCTTGTGAAAAATAATGCATTGGTTAATACTTTACAAACATGTCCTGCTTCTTTCTTTTTTTAAACAGCATGCGTCCATTATTGTGTGATTAATGTAAATGAAACAATTCAAAAGTTATGTATTGTTGTAACGAAGGTCCAAGTGTTGGTTACTGTTGTTGTAGAAAAGACCGAAGTGTGGATGATTGTTTGAGCCAAAGATCTAAATAGATGTGATTGTTTTATGACAAAGATCTAAATCTTAGCGATTGTTTTCGTGACGAAGACCTAATTGTGGGTGATTGTTTTTGAGACGATGATCTATGTGTGGGTAATTGTTTTTGTGACGAAGACATAATTGTTGATGAATGTTTTTCTGATAAAAAATTAGGCACGACTGATAGTTTTTGTTTCAGTGTGGCTGATTGTTTTTGTAGCGAAGATCTATGCGTGGGTGATTGCATTTGTGATAAAAATTTAGGTGTGACTGATTTGTTTTTGTGACGAAGACCAAAGTGTTGCTGATTGTTACAGTGACGAAGACCTAAGTGTTAGTGTTTGTTTATGTTAGTTATAAGTGTGGGCGATTGTTTTTGTTACGAATGTCTAAGTGTGAATGATTGGTTTTTGTAACGAAGTGTGGGTAATGGTTTTTGTGACGATGAATTAAGTGTTGGTAGATAAGTATTAGATAAAGTTTAAAGCGTTGGTGTTTGTTGTGATGTACCTCAAACTGTATATGATTTTTATGATGACAACGTCTAGGTGTTTTTGCGACGGACGCGCCCTCAGGCGCGTTCAGAGCTATGTCTTTACACATGGGATTTCGTCGGCTACAATCGCGCAATGTGTCCTCAACCGAATAACAGCCCACGAAATAGTACATGAATTTGATCCTATGAATCTCCCATACTTCGTCGGGATATCTTAAAAACTTTCATATTTAGCCTTTTCAATTTCAAATTAAGTTATCCAAGTTAAAATATAAACGTATTTGATTGATAAAAACGTTGTAGCCCCGTAGTATTATCGCGCAATTATGCAAATAACTGCTGAAACGATTTACCGCTGTCGAAAAAGTAGGACAACAAATTATGCTATAATTAAGGAGTAAGCTCAATAATTCATAGAAGTTATTAGCAGGAAATAAATATTTCCCCATAAAACAAAACATTTTTATTAACAGATCAAAAGTTTTCCGTGACTTTAGAATAACTCGCGCATTAATAAAAGAAGAACTCTTTTCATGACTCATACCGCGGGTTTAGCTGAATATCCAGCAGTTATTAATAAATTAGACTACAGTACAATGGTTAGTATTATAAATATCTATTTTTGAAAATGCATGTAAAAAGGGAGTTTTTCAACACTTTACCACCATGTAGTCTTTCATTGTAATCTTTATTGAAGGAAGTTATAATATCAGTTCTACTTCCGATTCTTGTGTTTTGTTTATATAGTTTTCTAGGTCACGATATGAGTTAACCTGCTATGAGATTATAATAGCCTTCGACCAGAAGATAACACTATTCTAAAAATAGATTCTGCATCTTCTGTGAGTACACATTATACATGTAATAAACCAGCGGATACATACTTTGTTTACATGCAATACTTTAAGAAATTCTATACAATTGTAAGAAGCAAACAATTTGAAAATGGAATTAAGTGTGAAATTGAAAGGGACAACTAAACACTGTAGTGCTTAAGTGACGTAAATGATAAAAAAATCTAAAAAAAATACACCATTAATTGCTGATGATTTTAACCAAAAATATTTTTAATGAGACGTATCCAAGAGAAATAAAAATAAAAATACAAATGACTTATACATTTATTTTATTGTCTATATGCCCACTATGATATAACACGAAACAATTCTAATTAACATTCTCACATGTATTATGTATTATGATTGAAGTTTATTTGCATGGTTTTATTTTAGATTTATTTCGTTGACAGTTTTTTTTCTATTTACATATCATCTCTTGGAATAAATCGAGAACACTGATTTACAAGTTTGACCAGAGTTTTTAGGCATAAATTTCATTCTGTATTTAAAAATTTGGAATTGTTCTGCTTGAAAGTAGAAAATCTGAATTATATCAGATTGGGACACATAAAATATATTGCTCTACAAATCTCGAACTTGTATTGAACACATTTTCTCTGTTATATCTTTTGTGTATGTGTTTTTTTTTTTTTTAAAAAGCCTTAATGTCTCTCCGGTTGCATGTCCGTCGCATTCAGTGCTGCAGCACTTTGATTTTATTGTGGCCTGTGATTTGTTATGGTGACGGAGCTCTTTTATGATACAACGTTCGTTCAAAGCCTAGATAATGCCCGTGTTGTCACTCCGGTGTGGCGTGAATTTTGTCAGACCCGTGAGAAACGTAAGACTTTACGTTCTGCGCATGCGCAGGTAGTTGTCGGACGGGGCCGTGAGAAATGTAAGACTTTCTGGTACAATTGTGTGTTAACCTCGTTTAGAAGCTCATTAATTAATCCAAGTGTAGTTCTTCCTTTTATTCATGAGCATAGAGATATTTTCTACGATACCAACTTTTATTTATCTGTGACAACGTATCGTGTGGATGAAATATTGTCCAAATCAGTGGCAGTCTTGCGACATCGTTAGTTCCCGATGTCGAGTTGATGGAAAATCCTGGAAAATCGAAGAGCTTTGATCGAGGTAAGCTTGTTTTGATATTTTATATTAGAATGTGGTTATTTCAAGCATCGATGAAAGTATGTTAGTTTTTATTAATGCTTACAGGTACTGTAGGCCATATTGTATGTCAGTCTGTTTTAAGAAATGGGCGGTATGTAGCTCAACCTTTCGTTTCTTAATTTTGTTTTAGCCGACCAGCCAGCCGACATTTGTAGATCTAGGGGTATGGCACACTTAAGTTTACTGATATATTGTCTAATTATATGTATTTGATTGGAACACGGATTTATATTACATCCGTGATTGGAATAAGTGTCGGCTCAGCCCTAACATACTCGGCCCTATTCCAACTCGGCACGGATCAACTCCATAGTCAACTCGTCCCACTTAAAAATTTATTAATCTGATTATCAGTGTTAATATATTGGTTTGTTTTATCACTCTCTGTTGTTGGAACCATATTATTGTGATATATAGAAAATACATGGTTGATGTCGGGATGGAGAAGGTTTATCCGGTGAGCGAGAAAGTGTATCTTGGCGAGCTTTAGCGAACCAAGATTCACTTTCGCAGCGAACCGGATAAACCTTCTCCATCCCGACATCAACCATGTATTTGATTTATCCTGCTTTAATCATGTTTTTATAACAATAAGATGGTTTCATTCTTCTTTTTCCCCGATAAAATAGCATCTATATGTAGTTTTGTTTTGCTGCTAAACACGTGACGTAATCATATGACGTAGTGACTGGAGATAGATAAGTTTATCCGGCAAAGCTTTATCCAGCTGATGATATAGACAGTAGCAGGATAAATGGACTTATTCACAAACGTTGAAAGACGTTTTCTTAAATTATTATTACATTTTTGGTAATAGAGTTTTCAATGATTTGGGATATATGAATTCATTACAATCCATCCTTGTGACATTGCAAAATACAGTGCCTGTTGATAAATGCATTACATGTTGTTTTATGTATACAAGATAAATAACAAACATTTAAAAATATTTTATATAATAAGTAAACAAGTTTATATTTCTTTTTTTATTGAAGATCACTTTACAAACAAAAAGCATCATTTTGAAGGGAACACATTTGCAGGGTTCTCACTAGGAATTTAAAACATGGAGTCCATGGACTCCCAACCCTGAAAAAGTTGGAGTCCAAAAGCGCGTCGCAATTAATATGTTTACAGATTAGTCATTCAATGCTCACAATAGCATTGCTGATATTTTGAATCTTCAAGAGACTTCCAAAGTTTATAGTTATTAAAAAGATTAAAAAGAAACTCTGAACTACATAGTATAATTATTGTTTTGTTGTTGATATTTTATTATGAAATTATTTCATTATAATGCATCAACACATGGAAATCGTTTTTTTTTTTTTTTTTTGTTTTTTCTTTTCCACTTTTATACCAAATCAAATTTTATTCTGGTTAAATAAGTCCACTCTAAAGACAAAAAGTTTATATTTGTAAAAAAAAAACGTAAATGTATATAGGCAGCGTTTAGCGGAATGAATAGGAAAATCGTGTACAGCTTCAAACAGTGTGTAAGAGATTCATCCGATCGACAATTATTTTAGCAAATATCTTCAAAAGGGGGCAAATTGAAAGAACGATATTTAAAGATTTAATGTTGATTAAATAATAAAGGAACAATTCATTCGCATGTTTGGCTTGGAATCCGAGAATTTTTGCGAAATTTTAGGGTTTCTGGCGAACGTGAAATCGCCGATGTTCGGGATCAATTTTCGGATAGAATTTAAATATCAAAGAAAAGCGTATGTGTATTTTTGTTTGTTGTCCTGGCATTTCGGCACAATATCTTAAATTCTTAATAGTCTTATCGAAAGTTTTTGCAAGAATAAAACTAAAGCAAAATTGTGCCTAGAAAATGCCGAAAATATTTGACAATCATTCAAAATTACATTCATT